CCACTCCCTGAATTGTACCCTGGGTTGGATTTTCAAAAATGCCTCTGGGATGGTCTCCAGGCCTCTGAATTAACATGGTGCTTGATGTGAATGTGCATTTCCCAAATTATATCCACTCTCTTCAGCTGGACTGTCAACCACAAGAGGACTTTTATTGTGTCTGTGTAACTGAAGTTTGTCTTTTTTTAAGATCCTTCCCTGTTAACAATTCAGTCTTACTCACTGGAGATGAATTTATAATATAGATCACTTTTAGAAACACGGGAGAATTGCCAATTAGAAGCAGAAGAAGGGGGACTAGGGAAATGTTCTTTTTCCTGGAATCACCTACCAGTTGCCTCAGGTTTAGCCTCTGACAGCTGGGCCCTGTGAGGGGAGCGTTCTCCCTGTGAATAGCCTGAGGGGAGCGTTAATGAGGAGCTGAAGGCTGGCAGGAGTCTCTGTTGGGCACAGAGAATTAGAAAGAGGGATGAGGTCACCTCCCTATTATGCTCCACTGTAATGGGAACAGTTGGGTGGCGGCTTTTTGTTTTGTTTTAATTTTTTTACAAACCATCCACTCTGCTTGAGAAAGACTGATCTGACTCTCATAGCTCTTTTATCCCCTCATGTATTTTTTATACTCTATATATTTTGAAAGTAGCATATGTGCAAGAGAGGAAATTTGGATAGCACAGAGAATTGGTGCAGTGGGGCGGAGAAGATTCAGTTCAAAGATAACCATTGTTAATATTTTATTCTTATAGATTCTGATTTCTCCATTCAGAGATTTTTATGCCTAATATTATGATACTGAGATTCTTAATCAAGAAACAAACACATATGTCACCCAAACCAAGTCTGGTCTGGGAGGAGTATAGAGGGGCTCTCGTTCTCCCCACAGTATCCCCCAGGCCAGGAAAGACTCACATTCCCTTCCAAATGCTGAGACTCTTCCTCTTTCTCTGATCCTTCTTGCTCCTCCCCTAAGGCAAAATAGCTAATTTGATACTCAATGGGGAAAAATGCTATGTAAATTTAAGAGGTAATGAACACTTTTCTTTCCAAAATATTCTTAAAGTTCTTTGAGAATTGTCAGAGCATAAGATGATTGTGAAACAATATTCATCTGTTTGGTTTTTTTGGTACTGATATTTTGCACTTTTTCTTTTGGTTATAGAAATGTATGCAAAGAAAGATAAATACAGTATACAGGTTAATGACAAAATCGGAAGCTTCCTTGGTTCTTTTTCTTTTTTAACAGGCATCTATTATAATGCTTCTCTTTTTTATTACTCTAACTACCACTTAGCTAAGGAGTTAAGCTACCAGAAAACCATTGGTAAATCATTTTGTCAGTATTTTTTATGCTATATGACCACAGGGGAAAGGCTGGAGCCAAAAATTACTGGAAAATAATAGCCTGTTTAATAACATCAGCTACCAAACGGTTTCTTTTCTGTAGTTACAGGTACCGTAGTGAGACCTCCACCTGTAGTAATCCTGTAATTGACCTTCATTAAATATTGTTCAGAAAAGAACCATGACAGCACTGCCACTGGTGTCAGCAATTTGAGTGACCTTGAGCACATCGCTTCTCTTGAGACTTCTGAGTTCCCAACTTTTAAATAAAGGGGTCACAAACTGGGCAGTACCTCCCCAAAACTGGGGAGATACCGCCCCCAAGGGGCACTTGTTAATGTGTAGAAGCATTTTTTTTTTTTTTTTTTTAGTGGTCAGGGCTCACTGTACTCTGCAGAGAATATGGGGCAGACCTGCAAGATGAACAATTATTTCACCTCAAACGCCAGTAGCAGCCTGGATTACCTCAAATGTCCCTTCTGACCGTCAGTGATACCAAGAGGCTGTGCATTCATTAATTCACTCGGTCACCCATTACTGGCCCCTGCTGTGTACTGGGCACCAGGCTTCCCTAGCTGCAGTGTCTCAGAAACCCTGGCTCGGATTTGTATTCTCCTTTTCCCTTCTTTCTTCCTAAAAGTCCTCCCAACAAGTAAGACCTGCCATTTACAAATAAGGGTTTTTTTTTTAGCTCAACCCATTAAGGGAATAGATCCCAGGACTCATCATATGCTTTGGGATTTCTAATGACACCGAGATCCCGAAGGGCTCACTTCAGTCCTCCCTGAAGATTGGATGATGGCCTTGTTCGCCTTCAGTAATCCAGGAATGGAGGCCGTCAGCTCCACGGATCCAGGGCTTGCAGCCAGATAATGAAATCCCGGTCGTGAAGCATGTAGCTATAAATATTTCAACCGTTGATGCAATCATTTCTAATTTTTAAAGCAAAACACCAACTGTTTTATGCCCAGTGAACGGTTTTCACTGGCAAACTGAAATTTCCTAATGTACTTTAATGGCATTTGAGGCCAGTTGTAACACCTGCCTTAGAGCATTTTACCACATCAAGTAGGGTCATTCATTTGCTAATTAACTATGCAGTGAGCAATCCTGTGTAGTACAATCCAACCAGCCACCCCCTCTCTACATTGCCCCTCTGGGAGTGCTGTCCCCTTCAGGCTCAGCCCCCAGCCATCACACTGTTAAATCACTATTCACAGGGCCCTCATCACCTTATCTCACAGCAGCCCCAGGGACAGCTTACATTCTGATTGCTTCTTTCATTTTGCAAAGGAGATCAGTGAACAGAGAAGCTTGAAGGATCTGCCCAGGTCACAAAAAGCTTCAGGGTGGAGGGGATTCTGAGTGCTGCTTACAGGGCCAAAAGCCACTCTGACAGTCAGGGATGCTCTGCAAATACAGTTACCGCCCCTCCTTATTCATGGGGGACATGTTCCAAGACCCCCAGTGGATGCCTGAAACCGATGACAGTACAGAACCCTATGTATGCTATGTTTTTTACTATACATACATACCTATGATAAAGTTTAATTTATAAACTAGGCACAGTAAGAGATTACCAATAATAATAAAATAAAACAATTATAACAATACTAGAGGCCCGGTGCATGAAATTTGTGTGCTTGGGGGGTCCCTCAGCTCAGCTTGCGTCCTCTCACAGTCTGGGAGCCCTTGGGGGATGTCTGACTGACATCCTCAGCACTGCCATGGAGGCGTCTGCCCCCTGGTTGAGCGTCTGTCCCCTGATGGTCAGTGTGCGTCATAGCGACCGGTCATTCTGCCATTTGGTTGATTTGCATATTAGCCTTTTATTATATAGGATAAGTAAAATAAGAATTATTTGAACACAAGCACTGTGATAACTGAGATGGCTACTAAGTGACTAATGGGTGGGTATCATATATAGCATGGATATACTGGACAAAGGGATGATTCATACCCTGGCCAGGATGGAGTGGGATAGCATGAGATTGTATCATGCTACTCAGAACGATGTGCAACTTAAAACGTAAGAATTGTTTATTTCTGGAATTTTCCATGTAATATTTTCAGACTGTGGTTGACCGTGGGTAACTAAAACCGGGGAAAGTGAAACCATGGAAAAGGGGGGGTGGACTACTGTATACATATATTTTTCAGCCTTTAATGAATCTTGGAGACTCTATTTTGATGTTTCTGGTCATTATAAATCCATATATGTATTTGTTCAATAACTATTATTGGATAAATGTATTAGCCAAACAGGGTTTTGAGTACTAGGAATATTTTCCTGCTCCCCTGGACCTATGGGCATATGGGGAAGGCAGACATTATGCCAATAATTCAATATTTATTATTATTGCAATTGACACTATCTCAGTCAAGGTGGTGGAAGTGAGAGAGGGTGGCATGAATAGATTTGAGAGATGTTTAAAGATGGAATTGGCAGAAGTCAGTGGTCAATAGGATATAGAGTGAAGGAGTGTTAGGGGTCACTGTTCTGAATCTTGTTGCTGGGAGGTAGGGCCACTTATCGAGGATTCTAGCAGAGGAGCTGTGCTGGGCAATGGGGCAGGATCACCAGCTTCTCATTTGGTATATGGACTCGAAGTCCAGTGGGACATAAGTTTGTCTAGTGGAGACCCTACTTTGCCTGGAGTGTCAAAGGTCACTGCAACTTACCACAGTGTGAGAGAAACTACAGTACATGGAGCCCAGATCATGTGTTGGTGAACAGGCTTATAGATTGGCATCAAGGCCCGAGTAATTTACAAAATGCTTTTACATGTATTGTTTCTGAGCTTCGCAATGATCTTTTGGGAAAGTCGGTAGGAGTCATCTTCTTCTACTATCAGGAAATTGATGTTTCCTGGATTTGTGATTTGCCCAAAGTCATACTGCTATAAGCAAGGACCTAGCACTCAAATTCAGATTTCTGGCCCCTGGCATAGGAGTTTTTTCATTTCACCATGTTACTTCACTGCATGATCAGAGTGAATCTTCAACTCTTGGGGCTGTCGGAATCTCACTATTTGTGCAAAATATATAAGAAGTGAAATCAGTTATTTTTTTTCTAAACTCTGTTCAGACTTCTAGGTTTTATTACTCTTTTTTATAACAGCATTTTAAAGTTCTTTGTAAACTTCTGAGATTAATATTTGTATTTATACTTAGAGCAATTATTTTCTTTTAAGAGTGAAATTTCAATGACAGATGAAAGTAACTTTTATTGGCTGTGGGAAGACAGTTGTGTGGGAGAAATTAAGTTCAACTTTTGTGTGAATCCTAATAATTTATAAAACATTGTAAGACCTCTGCCCCCTTACCTCCCATTCCCAGATCTATTCCTAAAGTGGAAGGACCATCCGAAATGGCTCAGCATATGAGGTGTTCCCCTGGGGTCCAGGCACTGAGGGATCCGGAGAATCTTCCCCACCAGCCTGTCTTACCAATTTGCCTTCTCCCCTTTTCCTCTTGGGGATGTTTAAGTAAAACTCATTTGAGTTTGTTTCTGAGTCTGTTTTAGTTGCATTCGTTCTGGCTCTACACAGAACCTCAGATTCAGGGGACTTGGCCTGTCTACGGGGCTAAGTTATGTTTCTTTACTACATGCAGAGCTTCCCCTGACCTCCTGCTGTTCTTTCCTTCCTTGCCAATAGCTCCTGGACTGTTTCGTGATCCCGGTGGTGATTTTACTCTCCTGGTTCTTCCTGCTGATCCGGTACAAGGCTGTACATTTCATCGGCATCGTGGTCTGCATCCTGGGGATGGGCTGCATGGTGGGAGCAGACGTGCTTGTGGGAAGGCATCAGGGAGCAGGTGAGTCTCTGTGTGTTCACTAGGTTACCTGCCTCTGTGGGTGAGGCCAAGGCAAGACCTGGCATGTTCATTGTTGGGTGGAAGAAAAGGAACCTGGTCTTTCCTTTGTCTGTGTCTTACTCATGCTTGGTCCCCCATGATGAGAAAAATAAGACATTTGGGGGGGGTGCTAGTAGCCTGACTCTGTATCCCTAATGCACATTCCTGTTAGCCTATAGTCTAGTCCAGTGATGGCGAACCTATGACATGTGTGTCAGAGGTGACACACGAACTCATTTTTTTGGTTGATTTTTCTTTGTTAAATGGCATTTAAATATATAAAATAAATATCAAAAATATACATCTTTGTTTCACTATGGTTGCAAATATCAAAAAATTTCTATATGTGACACGGCACCAGAGTTAACTTAGAGATTTTCAAAATGCTGACACGCCGAGCTCAAAAGGTTTGCCATCACTGGTCTAGTCACTGCCCCTTCCTTAATTATCTGGTCTTGCAAGACCTGTTTACCTAAACACTCCCATTTTACAGAGGCCATAAACCATGAACAATACACATCCCTTAGAGAGGGTTATCAGTACTGGCGCCAGGCCAGGCCTTTAGGTGTAATCTCACAGCCCCCATCCCAACACACAGGGCTTTTTGCACAGCCCGAGAAAGGACCGGAAGTCTGATCATTATTTGGGGGATAAAAAAACCAAAGGGTATGAAGAGAAAGCTTCCTCCATATTGGCTTGCTCAGGATTTGGAGAACTGACCCCCTGAGTCACTGTACTAGTACATGTGAAATATCTGAAAATAAATGGGGTTTTTTTGTATCTCCAAGTACTCCTGTGTGTTTTTTTCGGTCACCTGGTAAATTCTGTAGCACCCACACCTAGAACAGTGGGACATAGGAAATGCTTAATATATTTCTTGAGTGAATAAGGGAAGCATATCGACCGCCCATAAACAAACTTTACTAAATCTCAGTTGGTAAGTTACAGAACTTCTATAAAAATGCCAGAATAGAATTTTGCTGGTGCTAAATTCTTGTTAAGAATTTTTAATGAAGCTCTCTCTGTTGTTTTGTTGTTGTTGTTGTTGTCGTCGTTGTTCCTAGGGGAAAATAAGCTGGTAGGGGACCTTCTGGTCTTAGCAGGAGCCACACTCTATGGTATCTCTAACGTCTGGGAAGAGTACATCATCCGAACCCTGAGCCGAGTGGAATTCCTGGGCATGATCGGACTCTTCGGGGCATTTTTCAGTGGAATTCAATTGTGAGTAAAAATAACAAGATGCTCAGACAGTAGAGACTCTTAGGACATGTGTTTAAAATTTTTTTCTTTGGCGTAAGGTTGGTAAGTTTATTTTATAAAAATCAAAGCTGGGAACCTGTCACCAATTCCCCATATGAAATCGGAAAACTCAATATCTTTATTAGTAAATTTCTTCTAAACTAAACAAGTTTATTGTAAATTATTAGAAAAACATTTCATGGACTTTGAAGATAATTTAAAGGAAACCATTAGATGTACATTGATTCTCCCAAACGAACCTGTGGGTTGTTACGTAGAGAAATAGAAAAACTAAGTGTAAACTCCACGATCGGATGCACTTGCAGAAAGGGGCATTCTGTTTATGGGTGAGTGACGACGGCCACCAGAAAACTTACAGTTTAAATTTGCTCTTTTACCAGTTTTCTCTTCTATTGCCCATGGATTTGCATGAGTGAATCATATTTCAAATTCATCTCTTAGAAATTTTGTGTTTCCATTTCCCTTAAATAACCAAAGAACTTATATGCACACATGCATACCCCACGGAAAGAGACAATAGTGCGGTGAAGGCCTGGTGGGGAGGAGGGTGAGGATGTGGGGGGTGGGGGTGGGGTGGAGAGGGTCAATGGAGGAAAAAGGGGACCTCTGTAATACTTTCAACAATGAAGATAAATTTTTAAAAATAGGTAAAGATGTAACACACACATTCTCAAAAAGTCAAAAACACCAATTTTTCAATAATTCTGGTGTGGGAACATATAAGTCAGCACTGGTTTGTGCCTCAGAAATTGCTGTGAGAATAAGTGTCAAACGAAGTATCATTTTTCATCAAGAAAGGCCACATATTTGAGTTTCACATAAGAGATGGATACATGTATGACCTCCTGTCTAATTTCACCAAATCTGTTTTTACAAAGCAAGCAATTCTGATTTCACCAAATAATTTTCTACAAAGCAAGTACTTTGCAATTGTATTGGTTCAGTATCTGAGATTATTTATGGAAGCAATTTTAACATCACCTTAAACATGGTTTGCAAATAGGCTGTTTCCAAGAATCCTCCAAATCTCAGTACCCTCAGATAGAAGTGAAGAGCTCCGTAGCACACAAGGCACTGAGATGGGAAGACTCTTCGAGGATTTATTTTTGGTTCATTTTGAAAGCATGATGGCATTTTAAAGCTCCTAAATTTGGTGCTCTAGGTGTATGAGAGGAAAAGAAATTGCCTAGTTCGACTGTTCAGAACTAACATTTTGTAGATGGATGGCTCATTTTATGGATTATTATTCTTGAATCCAAAAATATATTCCTAGATCTAGTGCTCATTGGCTTCAGTTGCAGTCCATTAGTGCTGACTGAGCCCTTCAGAGACACTGCTACCCAAATCATGGAAGTGGTGGCATTTGGGTGAGTTTGGCAAATGGGATACATCAAGGCCACACGGAAACCAAACAGCACTGGTGGCATGGTTCCCCCTCGCCTCCGGGTCCTCTTCTAGAGCAGTGGTTCTCCGTGTGCTTCTCCGGTGCCATGTGAGAACCCCTTAGACATGCACATCCTGGTCCCCTCCCAGATCTATGGAATCAGAATCGCTAGGAATGGGGCCCAGGAAGCTGTTTCGACATGCTTCCCAGATGGCTTTTTTGCACATGAAAGTCTGAGAATCACTGCCCTAGAAAATGCTCAGTCAGAAAATTGATTACACCTGCAAGCACAGAAATTTTCCGAACCTCACCGTTTCCTTTTCAGGAAGCATCTAAGCAAGAAAAAACACAGGCCATAGGCAGACTGCGTGGGTGTGAAGGTCAGTGGGAGGTTTGGGCTCCCCCATGCCCACGGGCACACTCACCCCTGCTGGCCAACCTGACAAGAGGCTTCAGGATAAACCCCAGTCTGTCTAATTAGACTGGCCTCTGCATGGCCCAGAGGTAGTTTTGACATTCAGTTGGTTGCTGCATGATTTGTACAAAGCTGGTGAGAGAAAAGTAGTAGGATGCCTCATAATCTTGCTCATCAGATCCACTTTCTTTCCATTTGCAGAGCTATAATGGAGCACAAGGAGCTGTTAAAGGTGCCCTGGGATTGGCAAATAGGTAAGGGGTTTGTTCACCTAAGATGCTGTTTTTTAAGTGAACCTGAGAAATAACATTCGAAGAGTAAGGTGGGTGGGCCTGGAGCACGAACAATGAAAAGATTTAGAATGCAGGGACAAAGAAAATGAAGTCCCCTTGTCATTTTAGGAATTCTAGCACACTACAATACAAGAGACTAAACGGTATGATTCATAATGTTTCCTAATTGAGCTTTGGCCCATTATCCTCATCAAGATGCCATTAGTGGAGACACAGCAGTATGTCATTAGGTTAAAGACCAACCAGAAAGAAAGAGTGCCCTGAGGCAGTGGTGGGACATAAATAACAGCAGTTTGCTCTCGCCAAGCAATGCAACACTGATGTGATCGTTAAAAAGTGGCATTATGCTAAGTGAAATAAGCCAGTCGGAGAAAGATAAATATCACATGATCTCAACTCATATGTGGGATATAATGATCAACATAATCTGATGAACAAGAATAGATCCTAGACAAATGGCAGGGCGGGGTGGTTAGAGAGCAACCAAAGGACTTGTATGCATGCATATTAGCATAACCAATGGACACAGACACTGTGGCGGTGGGGGCTTGCCCTGGGTGGGAATGGCTGGTGGGGCGGGGGCAATTGGGGAAAAAGGAGACCTATGTAAATCTTTAGACAATAAAAAATAAATAAATAAATAAATAAATAAATAAATAAATAAATAATTTTTAAAAAAGAATGATAGATAAAACACAAAAAGTAAAAAAAAAAGTGGCACTTCGGTAAAGGGGAGAAAATGGAACTTAACAAAAAGGCATAAAAGAAAAACAATGTAATGGACATTCTGAGCCCATAAAAACCTTTCAGAAGGGAGCATCTTGCATATAAGGAATGGCTAACTGATCTCCAGTGGACTTGGTGAAAAGTATCAGAGACAATTGGAGCTGGTTAATCAACCAAGGCATCTCAGATTACATTTCTCTCTAAAATCAGTTTTCTCTTACAACAACAACAAAAATTAGGACAAGGACTTGAGATCCTAAGTGATGCTGTGATGATCCCACAGGAAGCTCTAGCAGGGACTAACATTTAATACCCTTAGGCTGTAGTCTAAGCTAGGCCCTCAGTGTCTATACCAAGATGCACGAGTCCCGGCAATGAGGGCAGAGCCTGGTTTTGTGGAGGTGCTTGGAAATTGTGTGCACAGTGCATGTACATGGGGGTGAAAGTACATCCCCCACATGGAAGCTGGCTGCTTGAGCCACCTCCAGTTTATATGAGCTTTGATGGAATTAACAGCTTAAGTCGAATTCTGTTTCCATGAGCAAGGTCAGCAACGGCATAAACTGCACCACACCACTTTGCCTACTTCGACCCCAGAGCATCCAGCGCCACCGGCTGCTGAGAAAACTCCCTCCGAAGATGCACTGCAAGCTACAGGATTATGCAGGACTCTCCCTGGGGATTCATTCTAGTGACTTCCAGGGCTGCCCAGCCCTTGCGGCTGTCACAGAGTCCTGCCATTTAATTTCTCTTGTGTTTTGCTGTAGAATGTTCCAATGAAATGAAAATCAATAGAGAGGAGGAGATGGGGGCGGGCCAGGGAGGGCAGTTGGGCAAGGAAACCAGATGCAGGTTACAGACGCATTTGCCTTTGTGACTCTCAGTGCCAGGAAACAAAACATTACCCGCACTCGGGAACGCTTCCCATGTAGTGATCTGTGAGTATAAATTAATGTTATATTAATAGTAATAGAAATAATAAAAAACAATATGTCCTCTAATTATGTGGATGGCATGTGCATGTCCACCGAGGTTCTGTTATAACTCGGTGCTAGTTAAATGTGTCATCGAAAGGTAGTTTTATTCACATTGCCATTGAAATGTCAGTCCCCTGCAGTCGGAAATGATGAAGGGCCGTGTAAAAGGAACACATTACAGAACCATTTGTTTAATTCCTGATGGGAAATGAGGCCACAATGGTCTAGAAAGGCAATCAAAAATTCGTCCTTTTCTTCTGAAGCAATGATGGGGTTGGGTTTGAGGTTTGGGTTTTTTTTTGTTTGGTTTTTTTTGCTCCAAGGCCACTTTTGTCCTCCTTACCTCATCCTGACCTACTGTAAGGTTCTAATGTTCAGCTCAATTCTAGGCACACATTCAGTGAATAAATATTTACTAAGTAAGCGAATGAATGAATGAATGAATGACAAGAGGGTGGCAGGAGACTTCAGGCTTGGCATTGCACTTACTTTCTGGGGAGCCGGCAGATGGCATCGCAGCCGCTGGGACTCATGGGGACATGGGGAAGGAGGGGTCAGCACCCTCCTAGAGCAGAGGTGTGCTGTGAACACTTTTAGAACATGCAACACCTGACTGTTTAGTCAGGGGCACTGACCTCTGTTCCCCTAGTCTGTCAAATAAAAAAATGACAGAGCCAACACAGCAATAGCCATCCGGTGTGAATGAATCAAAATTATATTTTTATTTTTGTCAGATTGGCAAAAAAAAAACCACATTTTTTTTGGTGCTCCACCAAATGTTAGTAATTAGTTTATGTGTGTCGTGAGTGAAGAGGTTGACAATGGCTGTCCTAGAGGATCCTCCCCCCACCCCACTCCCCGGAGGTCTCCCCAGAGTCCACGCTCTGCCTGCTGGGTCTGGCTGGAGAGCTCAGAGCGTCTCAGCCAAGAGACCGGCGTCTAGACCAGAATCTGCTGTCTTCACCTCCCACCGTCTGTCAACGTGTCCCTTCCTCTCTCCACCTCAGTAATCGCCTTTACACAGTTTCATGAACAGCTCATATGGTTGCCACTTTCTCAAAGTAAATAGTTGTGTTTTTTTCCTATGGAGTCAGTGGAATAATAAATGCGTTTTATATTTTCTGGACTTGGGAGAATTTTTTAAAAACAGATTCTGTTGTTTTTCTAGAACATTGATGAATTGCAGGATGCAAAGTAATTAAAAGCAAGGAGATAACAGGTGCTTATTTTTATTATTTGTTTTACTCTACTGAACAGGAAGACTGGGCCTGGTTATGCGATCATTAAATTTGAGTAAAATGTGTGGCCTAATGGAGCTAAAATGTCCTCCCGGGGAGCACAGTTGGAAATCTAGTAAATCGATTCACCATTCTCTGTATCCCGTTTGCCACATTGTGCTAAGGACGCATGGACACATGTGAGCTGGGGTGAAAGGCACGTGTCGGAGGAGAGAAGCATGAGGTGGTCAGCAGCCCGGGCCTGTGGGAGGCAGGGGCTTCCTCACGGCTCATGTTGTGGGTGATGCTTGTTTGGTTTTTCCTGGAGCCTCAAACAGGACAGTTGACCTTTCCCTGAAGACGGATAATGGAACCACAGAGCAGGAAGGACCTTAAGGAAAATTAAGAATGCACCTTTTCTTTTTTTTAACCAATGCCGAGTTGGAGGCCAGGAAGTTTAGGCAACTTTACGAAGCTCACGGCTTCTGGGACGATGTGGGACGATGTGCACTCTCTGAGCGAACCCTGGCAGCCTGGCACCCTTTACCGGCTTAGCCTGTGCATATGTTCTGAGAAGCCAGCTTACTTAACCTTTATTTTTAAGCATTAGAAATAATATTTTAAAAACCCAAAGAAAGTGGAAGAACACTAGTGAGATCCCCAAAAAAGTGATGAAATGAAATATATGCAACAGACACATACTATATACATGTATATGTCATATATACCATATAATCACATCATATATACATGTATATATCATCTACTTATACATGGTGTATATATGATATATCATGTAGATGAGATATACATGATATATCATGTACATATCATACATATATATCATCATATGTACAATGAGATGCTCACTAGAATCAGATAGGATTCTTTTTCAAAGCCCATTTCTCTTCACAATATAATTAAGTAAGTAATATAAATAGTGGTATGTGCTCGGAATTTAAAGTCAGATGTCCTGTGTGACCTGAGGGCCAGTCACTCTCTCTGTGGGAGCCGTTGCCTGCTTACTCCCAGGTCCATCTGTTTCTTGCCCTCACTTGCTCTGCTCTGCAAACTACATTTCCCAGGCACCCTACTCAGTTGGCTTCCAGATTGGCTTGGCCAATGGGAGGCAGCAGAGGGAGACTGAGAGGTGGGAGGAAGAAACCAGGGTGCTGCTCCCTGTTTCTCTCTGTTTTGGGGTTGGATCTCTAGGAAGGCCTGAGTCACCTCTGTGATGGGCTCCCTACCTTCCGACCCCTGGTAACATGGCCTCCTCATTGGATCACTAGTTCCAGGCTGTTACTTACTGCCATTGCTAGTCTCTGCGTTGCCTCACCATTCCTGTTTTCCCGCTCATCCATTCAAATACCTTTGTAACTGGGCCCCATATTAAATTTCCTCTATTGAACCTGGTATGGACCATGTTTCTTGACTGATACACTCTATACACTCATTTCCTTAGCTGTATAATGAGAGTAACACTAGTAATGGCGTTACACTGTTGTGGGGATTAATTAATTGATGTATATAAAGTATGTGACACCTAGCAAGCTCTCAATTAGTGTCAGCTGACAGTATTCTTTTCCAATCTCTTTAGCTTAAGTCTCTTGGTGCATGAGGACAAGCGTGAATGAATGCTATCTTCAGTGAGAAAGAAAACATTTCAATTAAGAAATGGTTGTACACACACCCTGTCTATAAATGTGTTATTGCAGCTATTATGTAGTTGTCAGTCAAGAGTCAATGCAGCTCATTTATTCCATCAAGTTGATCGATTGTTTGAAAACCCTGCATGGACAGCAAGTTGGGTCTTCAGAGGCATTGCTAATGTCCACTAACAAGCTAATGTCCATCTAAGCATGGCAAATTCCCACTGTCATTCAGTCCTGTGTTCACTGGGCTAACTATGCTTTGCTCATGAAACAGGATATTCACACACGAAAACACTGATTGACCTAGCAAAGTGGTTAACTGTGATGGTGCGTACATCCCACTCCCACCCCCCTACACTTACTTTCTACAGTCTTTAAAAATACATTTAGAACGTTAAAGCTGATGGGTAGGGTAAAGCTCTACTGCGTGTCTGGTTTCCTACTCTCTTGGCTCACCAAGTATGCTTGTAAAGTCACACCTCGCCTCTGAGCCTGCCAACTACAATGTCGCTTCCTACTGCACAGATCCTCCAGTGCAGTGGTTCTCAACCTGTGGGTCGCGACCCCTTTGGGGGTCGAACGACCCTTTCGCAGGGGTCGCCTAAGACCATCGGAAAACACATATATAATTACATATTGTTTTTGTGATTAATCCCTATGCTTTAATTATGTTCAATTTGTAACAGTTAAATTGGGGGTCACCACAACATGAGGAACTGTATTAAAGGGTCGCGGCATTAGGAAGGTTGAGAACCACTGCTCTAGGAGGATGCATAAGCATTTACAGCTTAACACGTTCAAAATGGAGCTTTCCGTTTTCCCTGAAAACCTGGTAATCCCTCATTTCTCTTCATCTCCGTAAATGGCATCACACTTCACCCAGTTTATAAATTAGCCAGAACCCAAGGGTATCCGTGATGTCCTCCTTCCCCTCAATACCGACATCCAGTTTATCACCAGCACTTGCTGAGTCTTCACAGACCCGGCCACTTCCCCTCATCTCCATGGCCATTCTCAGCAAAGCCACCAGCATCTCTTGCCTGGACTCTGACACTATACTCCTCGCTGGTCTCCTCGTATGTGTTTCTCCTTCCAATCCCTTCTCTGCACAGTAGCCAGTCACCTTCTAAAAATGTAGATCAGAGATTAGCCACTTGCTACAAACTCCTAAAAGGCTTCTTATTACAACTAGAGTAAGATTTCTTTCCAAGATGTACAAGGCCCGGTAGAATTCATCCCTTGCCTGATTTTCTAACCTCAGCTCTTATCACTACCGTATTCTGTTCATTCTTCTCTGACAGTTGCTGGAACCCATCTGGCCCTGGCCCTTCTGAGGGTGTTTTTATTTGCAGAGCTCCCTGCCTAGAACCTTCCTCCCCTGGCTCCTCCCCTGGCAGTCCTTTTCGTCCTCCAGCCATCGAGGTGAATGCTACCTCCACAAAGCAGCCTTCCCTTGTCACCCTGCCTGAGGCAAGCCCCTGGCATGCCCTGGGAGGAACCCTTTTCTTTCTTCTCAGCACTAGTCCCAACTCGAGGCCTCTTGTCTACCCTGTTTTCCATTTCACTGCTAGCCTATAACAGAGCGCCCAGGGCATAGCAGGCATTCCGTGAATAAATGGTTAAATAATTGAGTGAATGGAAAACATCAAGAGCCAACATGTGAGCATCCTTGGTGTGCTAGGTAACGTAGTAGAAGAGTAGGATTCTGAAACTTTCTAGCTCAGACACGTATAATCCAAATCAGTGTTGCCTAAAAAGGGCAGGGGGCGAGGGGTGCCTGGACTCTGTTCAGATCAAGTTTGATTATTTTCAGTGAATTATTTTACAGATAGATCTTGCCCCTAGCCTCAGATTCCTTAAAGGGATACTGAATTTTTTGTCTCTTCGTGTATTGATCAGAGGTTCTTTAGTGTTGCATTTTCAGCAACTTGCTTAAAAGGCAAATGAATAATAGGCAGCATGGAACCCAAGCACAGGAGAATTGACCACTTTTAGGGAATGAAGACTTCTGCTGGAGAGTCGAAAGCCACCATCTGCTATTACAATGACAGAATAGCCCCAGAGGACTTGTCCTCGATGGAATAGGGAAGGGTATTCCAGTGTCCTCTTGGGCCACTCCCGCCACACTAGAGGGGGCTGTTGCACTGAGTTTACTTACTGTTCAGAATAACTTTGTATATAGGTTTGATGTGGCTTTCCTTAAATTTAGGCCCAGAAGTATACAGAATGATTATTTGTGTCCTTAAGTATAGGGTGTCCCCAAAAATGTATACACACACTTTGAATAATTATAAAGGCAATGTGTATTAAAATACAATTCATTTTCAAAATTGAGCTATCAGCTGTTAAAGTGTGTATACATTTTGGGGGGATACCCTGTATTTTTCATATGGAAAAACAAACTTCTCTTTGGGGGAGTCACTGGTCTTCATAGTCAAATCCTCCAAAGTGCACAGGATTCAAGGAAGCCATCTGCCCAAGGCCCACACCACGTACATTATATATCAAGGGTTCCTTGGGAAAGGTTTGTTACTTTTATTATATTACAAAGTCCACTGACTTGTATTACTAATGCTTATTCTACGCCTTATTCTTTCAAGGTAGAGAAATGAGAATTATTTTTCTACATTTATGTGGTATAAACAAAAAATAAACCAAACTCTAGATTTTGTTATAAACTTCTGCTTGAGACCCAACAAAATTGTGCACTTATGGAATCAGTATTAACAATTGTGTATCTAGTTAGAGAGAGAGAAAGATTGATTTAGAGGATGAGAGACTGGATGACCATATAGCATTTTGAGGGCATTTTTTCTTTCTCTTTTGCACAACTTAGTTCTTTGATGGTTTGCAAAGCATTTCCCTATTTATGTATAAAACAGCAGAACTTATATGTGAGGGCCCACGGCATGCTGGGAAAGGTGATGAAGGAATAGGTCTCTGTGTGCTGGCGATAGAGCTGGGCAGGATTCACAAATCTGGAAGGTCATCTGTGCTCAGGGCAATGACCTTGTCTTCCAGGGTCATGCAGTTAGGATTCCATTTCAGTTCTCTGACTTAAGTCCCGATCTCTTTGACAGGTAAGCCCTGCAACTTTAAGGACGATGTAATTATTTGTCATTGTGAACAATACATGGTACCAAGCCGTTTTGTTCCTATTTTCCAAATAAAAAAAACTAGAAGATGAAAGAAGTTTTAACAGAGACAGATAGAAGTTAAGTACCACACAACTGAGAGTAGAACTCAGAAGCCTCGACCCCGTGTTCTGACTGTAGCACTAAGAGCCACTCCTTCCTAGAAGGTGCAAAATATCAGCTACATAGTGGGAAGCAGAAAGTCTGTTTCCTTACTTTGCATGTTTTAGCCGTGTAGTACTCAATACGAAACACCGGTAAATGGAGTGAAAGAAAAACTCCCTTTGGGAATGATCAGTGGTGTGCGCGGTTCCCTCCTTTCACCCACTGTGGACGCCAAGAGGCCCTGGAGGAGGCTAAGATGTTGCCTGTCTTTCTCTCCCCAGGCCTGCTCTACGTTGGCTTCAGTGCCTGCATGTTTGGCCTCTACAGCTTCATGCCGATCGTCATAAAGAAAACCAGCGCCACTTCGGTCAACCTCTCCCTGCTCACAGCAGATTTGTACAGCCTGTTCTGTGGATTGTTTCTCTTCAACTACAAGGTAAGTTGAATCAGTGCTGCTCTGAGAAGACACCTGGTAGGGGATTAACCTTCCAGGGCAGACAGGTAGGACTCCCCTGCTGTGGAATGCCCTGATTTATATAGGAAGGTAGGAATGAAACTGTGTGCTAACCCCTGTGATCTGGGTGTTTACATTTCAACTATGAGACAGAGGCAACATTTTGTCATTAGAGACCAGTAACTACAGGCAATTGATAGTGAAAGCTAAGAAACCGCCGTAGAGGAAGGGCTTTCACCACTAGGGGACAGTTTTTTCTGACACCATTTCACGAAGAAGGGACTCTTTGTTCGGCCTAAAACTAGGAAGATTTGTGCAATCTCCAAACTATAAACGCAAAATCAATTTTGCCAAAGGCATTGGACAAAAAACACAGTTCCTGCAGTTTCTGTTCTGCAGACATTTTTATACCTGCAAATAAATATGAATGGAAAATGTTAACGTACTTGTAATGCAGGTGACCTCTTGAACAACACAGGTTTGAACTGTGTGGGCCCACTGACACATGTTTTTGTGTTTTTTTTAATAAATACATTCCAATACATAATGTTTCTTCTCTTCCTTATGATTTTCTTTCCTCTAGCTTACTTTATCGTAAGAATACAGTATATAATACATAAAACATACAAAATATGTGTTAATCAACTGTTTATGACATCAGTATAGTAGGCTATCAGTTGTTAAGTTTTAGGAGAGTCAAAGTTATAAATGGATTTCAACTGTGCAGGAGGTTGGCACCCCTAATCCTTATCTCTTTTTAAATATTTTTATTGATTTCAGAGAGGAAGGGAGAGGGAGAGAGAGAGATAGAAACATCAATGATGAGAGAGAATCATTGATTGGCTGCCTCCTGCACACCCCCTACTGGGGATCGAGCCTGCAATCCAGGCATGTGCCCCTGACTGGAATCGAACCTGGGACCCTTTAGTCCGCAGGCCGATGCTCTGTCCACTGAGCCAAACCAGCTAGGGCCTACTCCCTATCTTGTTCAGGGGTCAACTATAGTTTCTTTACTGAAAGATTGGGGTTTGAGTAAAGGAATGCAAAGAGATATTATGAAGTATTTGCAGTTAATATATCAGCCCTGAAGAAAAGAAGAAACTATTCAGCCTGAAGATGGTAGTCTTTTTGGAGATTACCCCCACCCTAACCCAAGGCAGGCATGACTACTTGGGTGGCACATGGCAGTCACATGTTATACTTTAAATGCTACACAACCTGCAACTGTTAACAATTGATCAAATTGGTATGTGAGAAGAGACCTGCTTGTCATTCTTTAACTAGGCCTGCAAGATAAGGGTCCATGGGGACTGTGACCAGTGTGACAAAGGACAAGTATGGAATATCCAAACAGATAAGACCAAATTCGTACAGGCAAAAGAAGAGGCAGACGAGAAAAGCTGTTCTGGCCACTTCTAGCCAAGTGCTTCCCCAGTGGTTGTACAGTTAACATCACCAGCACATGGGTGCGGCCAGCTGATGGGGCTTCTTGGTGGGAAGGGCATCTTCATCCAGGTCAAACTGGTCTTGGAGTTTCCGGGAGAAATGCTGATCCGGGAAGAGTATGTACTTGAGGGGAACAGAGACCAAGCAGCTGAAGTGAATAATCAGTAATATTACTGAGAGAAGCCAACGCCTTAGCCAAGAAACAGACTGAGAAGGGCAGGCGAGGGTGGAAAAGAGGTCACAAACAAGAGGTGGAGAAAGTTGCTATGGCGTAGACAGGAATAAAATGGACCCTGTGCCCAGTGTGGTGGCAGAAATGACAGCTTAAAGGAACTAAGACTGGACAATGTTTATACATTGCTTATACATTATTTTTTCCTAGAGAGTGCAATCTGTGTTTCCTGAACATACACTGGTCCTCCTAAGTGTTAAAAGGTAAAGTCACATGCTCTGCTCCATACGCACCCAGTTACTTTCCTGAGACCTGGGACCACCTGGCTGTGGTCTCCTCAGCGCAGCGCAGTGGCCGCCAGGTTTCTTCTCCTCTCTGCAGTTCAGCATCCACATCCTGTCCATTCCTTAAGCATGAATTCAGTTCTCAGCAGGGTTTCCTTTAATTGCCTTTATACGCTCCGGCACTAGAAGAAAACCCTTTAATGTCCCTTGGGAAAGATGACTAAAACCTATCGCTCTACTTGAGGACTGTGGTCACTTCTTGGGCAGTCCAGAGCCAGCCCAGCGCTCGGCGACCCCGACAGCAGTGTTCCTGGTGCACCAGGGGCATTTGCTAAAAATGCAGGCTTGGGGGCCACGCCTCTGAGCCACAGAATCATGAATTCAGTTCTCAGCAGGGTTTCCTTTAATTGCCTTTATACGCTCCGGCACTAGAAGAAAACCCTTTAATGTCCCTTGGGAAAGATGACTAAAACCTATCGCTCTACTTGAGGACTGTGGTCACTTCTTGGGCAGTCCAGAGCCAGCCCAGCGCTCGGCGACCCCGACAGCAGTGTTCCTGGTGCACCAGGGGCATTTGCTAAAAATGCAGGCTTGGGGGCCACGCCTCTGAGCCACAGAATCAGTGAGAAATATTGAAAATCTGGCTTCATTAGGGGACATGTCTCAGCGAGTCTGCACTGTTAACTGGCTCCCCTGTGAGGCCCAGGCTCTCTGAATTTGAGAACAAATACCTGAGAGATGTAGCTGGAAAGTCCTCATTTCTATTTAAGTGTATCGCTCCTCATGCTTCCACTGAATTTTGGGTAGACCTGGGGCTCAACACACGTACAGCCATTAGGAACCAAAAAAGCCAATGAGCCAGGTAAAGTCTGATCCTCTGCAACCCGTCTTCTCCCACCACTTGTATGTTGCTATTTACCCAGGATAAGTAATTTTGCTGAAGAGGAAATCATTAGTAACCCTCACCAGGCTATCATAAGGGAAGCTGCGTTATCTGAAAATTAAATTCGTGTAGCACCAATGTGGAGGTGTAATAGATGTTTTTATTTCTTAAAGCAACATTTTTTTTTGCTATACACATACATTTCATTACTACTTAAAAGATAAATTTCCGTAAGACAGAATACAATAGGTGTTTTTTTTCTAGTTAAAATTGATTCCTGGTATCTTTATTAAAATTAAACTTTCAAGATAATAGTTGGTTCACATGCTGTTTTAAGAAATAACAGTGGGAGATCCCATTTACCCACTTACCCTTTGCACTAGTAACATCTTGCAAAACTATAGTACAATATCAGAATATTAACATTGATACGGTCAACATCTGAGCATTTCCATCCCCACAAGGGATGTTGCCTTTTTATAGCCATACCTACTTCCTCCCTTCCGCCCACTTAACCCCTGGAAACCACTAATTTATTCTCCATTTCTCTAACGTCTCACTTCAAATATTATATGTAAATGGAATTACACAGTATATAACCTTTGTGGGGGGTTGACTTTTTTCACTCAGCATCGTTCTTTGGAGATTGATCCAGGTTGTCTCAGAGATCAGTAGCTCATTTGTTTTCATGGCTGAGCACTATTCCATGTACAAGTTTGACCTTTCACCCAGTGAAGGACGTCTGGGTTGTTTCATCTTTGGCTGTTATAAATAAAGCTGCTGTGAACATTCACGTATAGGATCTTCTGTGAACAGAGTTTCCATTTCTCTGAGATAAACACCTAAGAGCACAATTGCTGGGCATGTGGTCCTAGCACGTTTAGTTTTATAAGAAACTACCAAACTGTTCCCAAAGTGGTATATTGTCTTTTATTATAAAGAAATACATATTTGTGGTGATAAAGTCAGAAAATACAGATAAATGCTATTATACACTGGTACCATTTGATAGTGTATATGTACTTTTACAATATATATATTTCATAGTTCATATATTTTAATAAAAATTTTAATTATACTGTACCTACTGCTTTGTTACATGCTTTATTAGACTTAGCATGTATATATTTCCTTGTCACTTAATATGTCTATATCATGTGAGTCTGAATGAGTGATTCTCAACTCTGGCTACTATGCATTACAATTACCTGGACAGAATATAAAACAGCCCCGCCCACTGCCCACCCCAGAGAGTCCTATCCTGATTGGTTGGAAGTCTGATCCTAATTAAAAGCTCTTCAGGTGACTCATCACATATCCTAATATACAGCCAGAGTTGAAAATCACTAATCTATAATATTATTTTTAAAGAATATATAGTATTCCATGGAATAGTTATACTTTAATTTATTTAACCCAGGGTTTCTCAACCATGGCACTACTGATATTCCAGACCAGACGATTGTCTGTTAGGTGGAGGGGACTGGTCCTGTGCATTGTAGGATGTTGAGTAGCATCCCTGGCCTTGACCCCACTGCCACTAGTACCCCCACCACCACCACCACAGTAAATAAAAAATATCTCCACACATTGCTAAATATTGAGAAACACAGATTGAACAATCCCTAATTATTAAAATCAGATGGCATCTCTTTGGTTTATGTAAAAAAGTAGAATTAGCTTGTGCTAAATCTTTGTTCACATCCATTGTTTCAATGTTTTTAAAATAAATCTCCTAATTTGTTTATTTCATTGCAGACAGTATTTACAAAGCCCTGTTACTATCACAGCAACCAATATTAAGACAGACAAATTCTATTTCTCCTCTCCCTCCATTGTCATTGTACTGACAGTTGATACCACACCACTTATTTCTTGAATCAACACTGCCTTGTTTTATGAACAATAATATTTAATATCTGCAAAGAAATAAGTTAAATACTCCATTTAAATCTAAAACTTTATTTTGCCTTAAACAATTTCAAAAGACATCTTTCGAACAATGTTAGAATCTGCAGTCAGATAGTCATTGGAAAAAACCGTTTTTTTTTCTCCAGGGCTCAACTTGCATGCCTTGGAAATTGGCTGTGGGCTTGCTTCCCAGATGGGAGGCTCTTCGAGCTGGGCTGAAGGGCAGGGCGGTTCTGAGTGGCTTGCAGGTTTCCACCACAGCCAGATGGGCCATCTCAGAAAAGTG